GGGGGTTGGAACTGGATGAGCTTTAAAATCCCTTCCAACCCAAACCAGCCTGTGGTTCTATGTATAAAGCAACATCCAAAGCACCTGACACTGCAATGCAAGTCCTCCTTTAAGTCAAGATACACACTCTGGTAATTCAGTTTTGTAACGCAGAAGAGAAGGATTTGAGAGATAACCCATCTGTGAAAAAACACACGACTAGGTTTCCATCTCTGCCTGTAGCTCCAGGTTTTCTATGCATTTCATGTGTCCTGCTCTGCATATCATCACAGCAGTCTTGGGTAATGCCACAGAGGTTGGTGAAAAACACCTCCTTACTGGGGATCATCATTGCCCGAGATGTCTGTGTGAGCAGATCCATCCTTGTCCCTCTGAATCTGCATCTTGAATATTGAAGGAACCCAGGGCCAGTGTCCTTCACCACAAGCAAACACCACAAGCAAACATTATATGTAATTTTAGTGTGGCAATCTCTTTTCATTAGTGACATGCAAAATATCTTTGACTGGACTGGGCTACTAAGTCCTTAGGAGAATGTCATAGATATTAGGAAGAAATTCTTCACTGTGAGGGTGGTGAGACACTGGCCCAGGTTGCCCAAGGAAGCTGTAGATGCCCCCTCCCTGGAAGTGTTCTCGGCCAGGTTGGATGAGGCTTTGAGCAACCTGGTCTAGTGGAAGGTGTCCCTGCTGCTGGCAGGGGGGTTGGAACTGGATGAGCTTTAAGGTCCCTCCCAACCCAAACCAGTCTGGGATTCTATGATTCTATGTTATTATTTAGCTAATTTTATCATGATGATGATTGGAACTTGATCTTTTTGATAAAACTTACAAAGATGTACATCAGATTTTAACTATTTTTAACTATTGTCTGCTCAAAATCATTTTTATAACAGACTGTGTACAGATCTTTCTGCTGATATTCATTCTTACTCATCCTTCATTTCATTCTCAAATTTTCAAGGAGTCTCTGATTTAGAGCTTTCAGTGACAGTTAATCAAATCTGTGGTACGTGGGTCCTGCAGGTATAACAACCCCCTGTATTTACCCCACAGGCAAATTCTTGCCTCGGGAAATGACAGGATGGAAGTCGAATCTTTCTCAGCCCATGTAAGCAAGATTACAAACAAAAATCCTAACAACCACCCATTGCCTCTGAACCCTGGCAGACATCCTTCCAGGATGCCAGGTTAGCTGGGTCTCTAAATACGCTCAGTTTTAGGGGCTCAGAACACAAACCAGCAGTTGTCTGGCCCATGATTTGGGTTCACATGTTGGTGATGTCCTCCCTGCTTCACATCCTGCGTGAACTAGCGTGTTAAGCTTTTCACTCAACAGTCACTCACATCTGCACTGAGACCAGAGGCCTGGATTTGGAGTGTGTTTTGCTGGTTTAAGAGCACCAAACTTCTATCTGACAACAGGGACATCTGGATCCAATGAGATATTACTCAGCGCTTGGCTCAAACCCAATCTTTTTATTTCTCGGGCACTGTTAGCACTAACTGCATCATTAGGAACCTTGCTGGGATCAGTGTGATCGTTCTGTCACATGCTGGTCAACAACATCCAGGGTTTTATTTGAATCTGATCCACATGCCTTGGCAAAGTGGTTCCATCTGTGACAACCTCCTGCATCTGCGAGGGCTCCTTGGGAATGGGCAGTCCTTGTGACAGAGGACGCAAACCGCTGCTGCTGTTCTGAGTAGAGTGATATGTGGCGATAGGACGAGGGGTGATGGTTTTAAACTAGAAAAGGGCAGATTTAGGTTGGATATTAGGAAAAAGTTCTTCAGTATGAGGGTGGTGGATCATTGGAACAGGTTGTGCAGAGAGGAAGTGGAGGCCCCATCCCTGGAGATATTCAAGGTCAGGCTTGATGGGACTCTGAGGAACCTGCTCTAGTGATGATGTCCCTGCTCACTGCAGGGGGGTTGGAGTAGGTGACCTTTGAAGGTCTCTTCCAACCCAAACCATCTATGATTCTATGAGTCTACATCAGCTCATGGTGTTTGCCCCTCCACAAGGCAAACCCTCAGGACTAAGATTATCTCTCTTCCCCAGTGAGACTGTATTCCCACAGGCATCATTTTAGCTGGATTATTAAATATCCAGAGGGTTGATAAAGCTGTGGACGCCGTTGCTCTCCTGAAAGAAGGTTTCTGTTTTCAAGAAGATAAGATCTCACCATTGCCAGTCCTTTTTGCTAAAAAGCTCTCGCATTTAACCTAGAACTTGTATCTAAAATAGATTGGATTTTTTCTTGGCACTTCCCACACACTGTTTGCTGTATCTCAGTATCATATTTGATGTTATTAGACTGCCTCTGCTTTCTCGTACCAGGCCACCACAGCAAGCGGTTGCTCTTTTCTTCTAATTTTACTCCATGGAAACCAGAAAACACCATCTCTGCAAGCTGCTTGATTTTCCTGTCATGTTTCATAATCCCAGACCATCCTGGAAGCAGGAGAAACTGCTAACATCCATGCTATCAACTTGATGGAAACGGGCACAGCTAAATTTTACACCCCATCACACATGATGTCTTGTTCAAAGCATGCAGAGAAGACACCATTCAGATATCACACCAAACCTTTTCATTCCTATCTGTTCTTGTTGGCTCCAAAGCTGGTTGGGAATGGGTCAGGAGGTAATAGCAGAAATTAAGTGATGGGGTCAGTGCAAATGACAGTCCAGCATGAGATGGAACTGGACAGTCACACCAACCCTTCCCAGAAGCACTCAAAGAAATACCTCTGTGGTCACTAGTGTGGGGGGGGAAAAAAAGGAGACCTTTATTATTGGGGAATATGAACAACTGTAGGAAGAGTTAGGATGAAAAACAAGGAAAAAAAGAAGATCCCCATGATGATGAGGCAGAGAGGGCTTTGAGGCCACCAGAATTACCTTCATTATTATCTAATGAATTTGAAGATTTTTTCAGTTGCACTTGCCAGCAAATGCAAAAACATGCTACTTGCTCACACTGTGGTGGGACAGAAGGGAGCACGCAACCATCCCATAAATAGGAAGACTATGGGGTCTCCTGGGCCTGTGGATGGGGAAGGAGCAGATGGAGATATACATCTTGGAAGTTAATGTTCCAAGACATCTCAGCGTTCCCATCCTTTCCTACCCAAAACACAGAACCTGGCTCACACTCCTGCTGCAAGTTGAGTCCCACAGGTTCCTGCCAGATCATTCAGAGGGTGGTTGCCAGGGGATCCCTAGGACCTCTCTGAACATACAAAAGGTGAGTAGATCAAGTGCTCCAGCTGCGACCAAGAGAAGAGGCTTGATCTGAACCAAGGACTCACCTTGCCTGTGGACTTGACCCCTTTCCAGATGCAGAAGTAACAGATGATCCACGCCAGCAAGAGACACAGAGCCAGCTCCCAGCGCAGGCTGCCCAGGTGCTGGATACCATCAGAAATCTTTAGCACTCTCCTCCTGCATTGGGGGGGAAGCAAAGGAACATCTCAGTGTCACTGGTGTTGGCCACTGACATTCCCAACTGGTTCTCACCACACCTCCACAGCACGTGATGGCTCTGGGGAGAAGATCTGTCTTAATGAAAAGGTCCAGGTCTGAGCTGGAAGCCTCAGAGGGATCAAGCAGTGCTCCCCTCTGAAAAGCACCACCAGCCTGGCAGATTACACATGGACACTTGCTTCTATGCTCACTCTAGTGCTGCCCTGTTGGGCCAAGGGATTTCTTCTCCTGTCCTCCTCCTCCCACCCTTCATCTGTCTTGTCCTCTAGAGTAAGAGCTCTCTGCAAGAACACACAGCACTCTGCAGACACACAAGCTCTGCCCACAGCTTTTTCATGCACGTTACAAAGTTCACCTACATTTCTGACGTGCTTCAAACCTCCAAGTGAATGATGAGTTGCACTGACAATGCAGAATCCATCAAAACCACCCAAGAAGCAAAGCTGTCCAATCCCTTCTCCATAGCACACTTCTGTCTCTAGGAGCAGCTATGTATTTCACTTCAGGATCCAGAGCACCATAGTATCCCATGCCATGACTAAGACCCAACCAAGACCATAAGAATCCCCATTGCACAGTCTGAAGAGGCCACCTTGGACACCCTCTTTCAGCCAGTGTGGAGATAGAATGGTGGGCTAGATGGACCTGGGTTCATCTATGGGCTTCTGGTCTCACCTTGGTCATGTAGCAGCTTTCTATGTCACATATGTCAAACCTTCCTCATCGCTTACAGAAGTAAGGACTTTCTCTCCTCCATCTCCTACACCACACAGATGGATCTAAGCATGAAACACCATGGCACAGCCCCAAAACTCCAAGCCTGAGACAGGCAGAGACATGCACTACACTGGACCCCAAAAGTAATGCCTGTCCTGCTGCAAAAGACAGCCATTATCCCAAGATAAAGGTCATACTCCTGGAGAACCACCTCCTTTCCTGCCCCACAGCCTTGCGGTGGATTGAGAAGATCAGGAAGGGGTCAGAAAAATCACGCTGCTCCACCAGATAGATTTCATCATGTTGCTTTTTTGCATGCTTCGAAGGATGTGGACTCTGTAACCAGTGGGGAAAGGGTGCCAGTGAACCATAACTAACTGGGCACTGCACTGCAGCCAGAAGAAGCCTCAGAAGCTTTGTGCCACCAGCCCACTGGCAGGCCAGTGCTTCTCAAGGAAACGGTGACCTCGTACCTCCCCAGCCAGGGAGGGCAGGAGCAGATGCTGCATCGGAAGCAATGGACAGTGGAAATTTCCATTCCCAGGTGCTTATTCCCCAGGAACACAGGAATGGTCATAGCAGTGGTGGGAACATCAACTTCTCCAGCAGCCAGCCTCAGGAAAAGCAGTCTAAGGCAGGTCACCATCTAACCACACGTGAGCAGCAGGCAGAGGGAGCGTGCAGGCTCAGGGAGCACAGAGGAGACAAAGAAAAATTCAAAACTTGAAGTTTAAAAAGTTCAAAAGTTTAAAAACCAGCATTCCCATGTTGAGCTGAGGATGCCCTGGAGGTACTGGGTGCTCCACGTGCTCACAGCACCCAGCCACGCTGGGGAAGGCAGCGAGGGGAGACCCCTCATCCATCTAAAGACACAGGAGAAATTGATGGTGGGAGCAGAGGGGTTACTTGCACTGTCTATGAGCCAGGATTGGATGCTTAACGGGGTCTCTTCTCCCAGGAGATGCTGGGGATCATCAGAGACCCCAAGCCAACAGGCCCATGCCTTCATGCCTTCACTTTGTCCTTCTCTAACACCACATTCCTGTCCCTCCAGACCTTTTGGGCTTCTCGGTCTCAGTGACCTCAGTGATGGCTAGCTGACTGTGGAAGACCTTCCCTCACTGATGCTTGGCCTCCTCTGGTCCTTGATATTTCATTTATTGTCATTGTCTCTCTTATCACTCCTCTGCGTTCTCCATTTGGGCTGCTCTTCTCCCTGCCTCCTCCCTCTTCTTCATTGCCAGCTGTGAACTTCCTTACACAGCTGTTTCCTCCTGCAACGCAGGTGACTTGGATCCATGTTCCCTGTCCTGAAGCTTTGGGTTCAGATTTACCTGGGGGACAAACCTGAGGCATCAGCACAGCTCCAGACAAACCCCACCAGCCCAGCAATGCTACCCTTGACTGATGTTGCTGCCCCTGAGAGCCTTCCCTCTGACCTGCCCAGCCTCCTCTCTCGTGTCCTCTTCTGGCAAGGATGAGTTAATGGGACGTGCTGCTGCAGAGTTTGTTCCTTGCCCAGGGAGGTCCCAGAGGAAAGGGGGGTACAGGCCTGGCCTTTACTTACTCCCAGAACTCGATGACAGGGGAGGTGGCATTTTCGTTGGTCATGTTGAACGTTGAGTTTGCCTTCTGAAGCTCCATGCAGTTCCCTGTGGGAGAGGTCCAGAAAGAGAGGGAGTCTAATTGGCAGTGCCTGGAGTACTAGAGGATCTGAAAAATCCCTCCCTCTCCATCCACAGTGTCAACGCTCATTGACATTGACCCTGAGATGAATTCTGTACAGTCCCAAAGATGCACAAAAAGAGTCTCCTCCAGGGTAAGGTTGGCATGAAACCTAGGACAGTTAAGATGATGGCATTCAATTTTTCCTTCCAGTGGGCATGGTGAACAGTCCTGACCAGCACTTGGGTCCACAGCTGATCTGGAAGATGCCAGGAAGGAAGGAAGGTGACCACAATGGCTGGAGCCCAGAGCAGGAGCCACCAGGGAGGCCACCACTGACCTGGTGCTGCAAGTGGTTGGGCAGTGCCAACACTGGTGCTCTCTAGCAAAGACCCAAATCAACTGAGCCTCTTCCCCAGCAGTGCCAGCAGCCCTGCAGTGACCCAGCACTCCCCACCCCTAAGACCAGAGGTCCTACCACTCTCCTGAGGTTTGGCCCTGGAAAGCAACAAGTTTCCCTCATCCAGGATCCAGTGGAGAATTGGAAGGGGCCTCCATACTCACCTGTGTTCCACTCGTGGTCGCAGCTGCCCCAAGGGAGGTCAATGGTGAACGAACTGAAGAGATAAAACAAGGCCCAGGCCAGGACAATGATGTAGTAGAAGTTCAGCAGTACAACGATGACCTGTGAGGCGTAGCCAATTCCTGCAGAAAGCGAGCCCCAAAGGCAGGTGACCCACATGCCAGGGGGACAGGAACAGGACTCCCCTTGGCAGGTGTTCACCCAACATTTTCATCTGCTGCTCTGCATTTTGACTGTGCTGCTGGATGAATGCCAGCAGGGTGGCCACCAGAGCCATCATCCCCTCTCCAAAGCCCACCGTGGCACATCAGCGGGGGTCCAAGCAGAGGCCACAGGCACCCCCTCTTCCTACCACCCCACTGCAGCCTTCCCTGGTGAAAGGGTGACAATGGGAGGGAGTCTGGGCAGGAGATGGGCAGATTATGGTTGGAAAGCCACCCAACAGGGACTGAAACATATGATGGTGGTCCACCTACTGAATAACACCTCTTCTACCAAAATTCACTTTTTGTTTTGTTTGCTCATCCCCTTTCACTTTTGTTTGGGAAGTTTCTGTATGAAGGTCACACACCTTCTCTGGGAGGTGCTGGAGGAACATGTAAAGGTTTTTGGTACGTGGGGAGGACACAACTGAGACTTTCAGAGAAAGTGGCTGGAGGTTGGATGACTGTGCTCCAACAGTGCTAGAAGTGGACCTGACTGCTAACCATTTATGAAGGCAGCTGACACCTTTCACCATGAAGGTTTTGAGCCATCTGCAAACTCAGGAAAATTATTGACACAGTATTGACTTAAAAAATAAAAAATAGCAGTATGGTTTAGGTTCCTCATAACTGCCAGAAGCATTTTCATCATTCAGCTCTTAGAGGACAACCTTGACTGGGCACAAAGTTACTGGCCAGAGCCACAGCCATGAAGGAAACTGGGATGCAACGTAACAAGGGGAATTTTTTGGTGAGAAAGGTGATCCATTTTTCCAGTGTGGTTTTGGAAAGGGGCAGCAGATGCATGGAGGTACATAATGATCCAGGCTGTGGGCAGTGGCATCGCTGATTGTCCCCCCCCCAGGGCCCCACAGTCCCCCCAACTTGCTGTGCCCTCACCCCACTCACCTTCGAAGAGGGGACAGATCCGGCGCCAGGCTGTCACCCCTCCCTGGCTGGTGTACTGCCCCAGCGCTGTCTCCAGGAAGAAGACAGGGATCCCACAGGTGAAGAGGAAGATGAGGTAGGGGATGAAGAAGGCACCTGGCAGATTCAAGTGGTAGAGAGGAAAAATAAGCCCCGCGGGATGACTGGAGTAATTCCAACCCCAACCCTTCTGGGATTCTATGAAATACCTTTGCCAGCGGGGCAGAGCTCTTGCAGCTGGACAGTAACTCTGGCACAAGAGCTCATGGTTGTAGGTTGGTCATGATTGACCCAGAGCTGGAAATTATTGAAGTACCAGAAAAGCAAATTCCTGGACTAACCTCCCTAAAGAAGAACAGGACAAAAGCTTGGGCAGCTTTGAAAATTAATCTTGAGGTATTACAAGGGATGTGACAAGGAACCAGCCAGGGGATGGGGATGGAGAGGAAAATTGGCCTGAGAATTCAGACTCCTCACAGCCTCTGCTGCTCCATGGGGCTTTGCTTCAGGCCCATTTCTCAGGGGAAAAAAGGCTGAGAAACCCCTTTGTGTCTCCCCTCCACTGTCCAACCACACACAGCCGCTCCCTGAGGGCTGAAGTCACTTGGTTTGTTCAGCCTGGAGAAGAGGAGACTGAGAGGAGATCTCATGGGGGTCTAGAACTTCCTCCCAAGGGGCAGAGGAGGGGCAGGCGCTGATCTCTTCTCTCTGGCCACCAACGAATGCCAGGAGCAGAGGGAATGGCAGGAAGATGTGGCAGGGAGGGTGAGGCTGGCCATGAGGAAAAGGTTCTTGAGGCAGAGGGTGGTGGAGCACTGGAACAGGCTCCCCAGGGAGGTGCTCATGGCACCAAGCCTGACAAGATTCCAGCAGCATTTGGCCAAGGCCCTCAGGGACATGGTGTGAATGTTGGGCTTGTCCTGTGCAGGGACAGGAGTTGGACTCCATGGTCCTTGTGGGTCCCTTCCAGCTCACAACATTCTGGGATGTGATGATTCTATGAAATTGCTCCCTGAGCTTTCCCTTGGCCCTGGTGGGGAGGTCACGGTGGGGGGAGCAGCAAGGAAAGGGGTGCCAGGACAAGGGTCCCCAGTCCCACTCCCACCAGACAGAATGGCGCCCAGGAACAGTGCAGCACTCAGAGCAGACACGGCTCAGCAAGCAGCCAAGAAACATTCCCCGTGGAAAAAGAAAACACACACACAAAAATCCTCCTTTTTCAAGAGGGAAAGCAAATGCCCGACCACCTGGTGAAAAGAAACAAGCGCTGAGCAAAGCTCGGCGTGAAAGGAGCTCAACAGCAGCTAATCCTCTTTTACACCACTGGGATGAAAGCAGTTTAGTGAGGCCCATGAGACTACCTCAAACTCAGGCCAGAGGATTTCAGCCCTGGGTCCCCAGCGCTTGCTCCCCTCCAGTTCCCAGCCAAGCTCCAGTTCCCCTCTCCCTTGCCCTTCCGGACAAGCCCAATTAGCAATTAATCACCAGACAGGCAGAGTAACTCCTTCTCTCCACGTGCCACTGAGCCAAACTCCAGAAAAGCTTCGGGCTTCTGGTTTTTTAAAGACTTTTCTCCCTTAAAAGGCAGCCACAAACATCTGTAAAAACTCACCTGTGAAAGCCAGCCCAGATCCACCACCAAGCTGTGGGGTGGGAGATGGACACGGGTCACTGCCTGAGCAGCACCAATGTGCCACCACCTCGCTGGTAACAGCAAAGTCCCACTGCCTCTCTCTCCATCAGAGATGTCCATCCACCCACCTCACAGCCCTGTGGGGCTCAGAGCAGGGGTCCTCTCTGCCCCACACTCACAGCTCCAGCAGATGCTGGTGGGCACCGTGGGGTGCAGGAAGGGTGCTGTGCTTCTGCACCAAGGTGAGGAAAACCCCATCACTCTGCTCAGTCCCTGCCACCTGGCTCCAGCACCCAGGGGACATCCCTCCATGGTCAGACACCAGACCAGGACCTGTGGCCCCTTGGAGACCCTCTGAGCCTCCAGAAAATGCTGTAGCTCCTCACAGTACCCACAAAGACATCAGTTCCCCGTGGCCTCTGGCACCACTCCCTGCTATGCCACTGGGACCCACCATCTTATTTGCAGTGAGTTCTTGCTGCTCCTCAAGGAAGAGGTGCCTGGAGTGAGACACACTGCCTAAAGAGCTGAGCCCCCACCCTGCTCCTCCTGCCTCCCCATGCAGGTGGCCACCCACCTCACAAGC